ACGACGCTCAGAAGTCCTCCAACACACTGCGCAAAGGCGTCCTGAATCACAATATCTGTCTCGATGAACGAAAAGGTCCCACTGGAGATCTCAGAGATCGTGTGCAACAATTCAGCATCGTGGTCGGATCCAAACCCGAACGTGTGGATTGGAATCCTGCATGAAGTTGGAAGTAACGACTCGTAATCTGTTCTCATATGGACCCGACCAGGAGCAAGAGTATAATTGTCTTGCCCATCTGACAAGAGCATCATCCCGGAAACCGGGTTCTTCCATCGCCTATCTGTGATCACTTTAGCACCAATCTTCAACCCTTCTGCAATGTTCGTTCCCCCGTCCGCAACTAAAGAGTAAACAGCCTGAATTGCTTCTTGCTTGCCCGTCTCAGACATCAACTTCAGAGGGAAAAGGCGACGAGCAGTGCTAGAGAAAGCCACCACAGAGAGCCTATCAGCCGGCCCGAGATTCTGAATCACAAAAGCCATTGCCCGTTTCAGAAGCTCGACCTTGATTCCCGACATGCTCCCACTCACATCAAGAACCGTGATCAGATCCAGAGGAGCACGTGTATGGCTTCCGCTCCTACCCTCGGCCTTAAGATGGATCAGAACAGCAAACTCCCCACGAGAGGCTGACCTCGGCAATGCAGAGAGTTCAGGAAACAATTTCACATCAAGGGCTTGGCTCTCAACATTCAGATGATGATTCTGAGTTTCTACCTCTCCATGAGGTAAGAAATCATCATCGTCGAAGATCTGAAGCCCGGGCCATCGATGTAAGCTCGGCAAAGTAGAATCATCTCGTGGAGAAGTCAACGGGGAAATCCTGATTCGAGAGTTAGGAGTACTTCCACTGCCACCTACAGGCAGTTGATTCCACTGTGATCTGCATAAAGGGCATATCTTGTTGCCGTGTTTCACGTTCAACGATATACACTGGAAATGGAAAGAATGGGAGCATTCTGCAGTGAAGATGGCTTGCCCTTCTCCCTGTTTGATCTCGGATAAGCATACCGCGCAAGTATTCTGCAGTTTCCACGAGAAAACACAAAGATATTAACCTAAAGTAACGACCTTTAAGGAATCGAAAACATCCTCTGAGCAAAAAGGCACAAGGCCATAAGATATTGCAAGACCAATTCCTATGTTCCATCTCAAGTTCAGGGCTTTGGTTCTTCCTCTAATTCATAACACAGAGAATCTCTCGTCTCTGTCTTAATTTAACATCCAGAGTTTATGTGAAGGAGCATGAAGGGGGATTTACTCAAAGTTGACAAAGATATCCCCTTTGAAGACTTGGAATCGGATAGATTTTATCACGTAATGTCTAAATTAAACAGCAGAGTGTGTCAGAATTCAATCCTAATAGGAAGCAGCAGAGACAAAGATACGATATCGTCTAGCATCTGCTTGGCTCTGTGTGTATATATACTACTATATCTGTATATCACTCATGAACCCTTAACACAAAAAAAGGAGATTAATCATAATCGACCAAACCCGTTAGCTAAGAATTCCAACATCAAACATCTAAAAACTTAAACTTTTGACACAATCAACGAGAAAAGTTGTGATCTTTGGGATTTTCTCAATGTACGAGCGTCGATACACACATGCACGCGTGTAAGTATACACAGATGGGTATATGAACACGAAACCTTGGAGAAGCGGGGACCCGACCCAGATGAGGATTCGGGTCGGGTCGGGTCGCCGAAAACTTCGCCGGAGGGTCTTGCGGCGTCGCCGGCGGACGGAGATGATGGTGATGACGATGAAGAAGAAGAAGAAGAAGAATCATGGAGGGTTTTGGGAAGACTGAGACACTTGTTCAATCCCAAAGCCGATTTCGCTTCTCGCCATTTGTTCGAGCTCCCCATATTTTTTTTGGGAGCAAAACGATTGAAGGGAAAAAAAAACAGAGGGGAATATTTTTTTTCAGGCTTAGTGCTCTCCGATCACGAAAGAAAGCTGATAAAGAAGAAGAAAAGCGACTTGTTCCTCTTTTATATCTTAATTTAGGAGATACGAAATATATTTGGTATCTAATACTATATTATTAGATATATACACACGGTATTGGAGATACAATATTAGATGCGGTATTCGATATACACGGTATTAAAGATATAATTACATATATTTTATCTCTTAATAATATTATTTTATTTATTATTGAATACTTGGGAAAATAAATTAGATTGAAAGACAGAGTGTCTTTATGATTCACCCAATTCCTTCCTTTTGAATCGGAAGTTTAATTGACACGAGAGGGAGTTTGTAGTTACCGTATTTATGCGTAGATTTGGTGATAAAGAACCGAAATTAATTTGGATAAAATACGATAAATTTAGAAAGCAATTATTTGATCAAGCTAATGAAAATGTTCAATAGGTTGAGTTTTAGATTACAGGCTCCAACATGCCATCCATGCGAATGATATTTTTTGAATTTTTTTCTATTATACGAATGTTAAGCTTTGGTTTGGATTATTTTGGCTACCCACATCGAATAATAATTTTTTAATCCGTTTTTAATACAAAACGTACTGAAATTGAATTTTGCTTTTTTGTCCAAATTAAGTGGGTTATAATAATTCATTTCTTGTCCCATTATATCACAAAATACACGAAAACATATGCAGTCAAAGCCCTATAAATAAATACTATCTACCAACTGGTCATGTTTCTTTTTTCTTAATTAAATAAATTTTTATAACTTAATAAAAATTAATAATATGACTATATAATTGTAAACTAATAGAGATCGGTTTCAGGAAATATCAAATTTGTGTAAGGAGTCAGAGGAGTTATTTTTAATGAATCCTTGTGTGCTATTTTATTGTTGCGACTTGGACTAAGTATGCATCCCATTAGGCTTCCTCAAATGAAAATGTAACGTCAAAACAAATATTGCGACACATAAGAATATTGATGATTAAGTAAAATATTTAATGTTTAATGGAAAAAGTCAAATGATTTATTTTTAACATGTTTATCACCAAATTTGAACAGTCGTCGTTTAAATATTTGATATTTGTAATGGGTATTCAAATCTCATGTATCAAAAGGAAATAACTGAATACCGCATCCATCACAATCAAAAAGTCAAAACGATTAAAATATATATATATATATATATATATATATATATATATATATAAAATCAAATAT